AGAGAAGTAAAGGAGGAACAGAAATGGGCATCACAAAGTCTGTTATTGATGATTAGGATAGTTTCTTGTGCCTGCTGACAGGATTTAGTGGCAAACAAAGTGTCAATCACTACTCTGGCTCTGTACTGCATTATGTTCTCTGGAAAATAAGTTCTGGAACAGAAAAACTCTTCCTTGGTCCTCTGGTCAATGACTAAAGCTAGTGAGCTTACCTAGTGATAAGCAATGAGTTAAGAAATGGTCAGTTCACTTAACTTATGATTGTTGTCTAATAATTATCTGTAGTGCTATAGGGGTACATACTTTCATGGAAGTTGAAGATCTACTTCTACCTCATCTGCAAATGATGTCTCTAACAGCCATGGCCTTTATAGCATTCTTATTACTATCATTATGTTATTATACAATTTTAGTCAATTTTGCATTATTAAACATACTGTTTCGATCTGATAACAAAATGCATTTAATAAGTAGAGGATGAATGAAGAAAAACAAAACAAATTAATGATAAAAACTGATTTGAAATGAGTTTTAGCTATGATTCCTTCTTCATACTTCTGGTAGCCATGTTCTTGGGGTGTGTCTATCACGTGAAATTAACACGTGGATGCATCTGGTCATATGATCAGCTGCACTAATTACATTCCAGCATGCAACAACTTTGCCTGGTTTGTCTCCAGACCCTTCCCCTAAAGGAAGGGACTGGCCCGGCGAGACTATCTCTGTCCTCGCTTCTTTTTGAAACTACCTTTGTGGTCCTTGACCCAAGCCCAGAGGAGTGATGTAAAAGTCACCTTGAGCTGTTCTCTAGTTTAAGAGATTAATCACTGAGATTATCCGGTGTATAGAAGAAAGATGAAAGAAGAAGAAGAAAAAGTCTGAAGAATTTTGACTTCCGGTCGCATTAATTTAATGATATTCATTGGAATTACCATAGCAACGGCAGCTCAGCAATGGTGGATTGATAGGAAGCTTCACTACTAGTGAAGCTTCCTATCAATCCACCATTGCTATCACTACAAAGCCTGCTAACGTCTTTCTGGTTCATGGATGGGACTTCACTAGATACTTGGAGCTTCTTGAATGCTACTTAATGCAATTGGTTATGATAGTTTTTTTCATATTCTATTGTTAAAGTGGCAGGCGTGGCGCAAGAAGACTCATCCACTAACAAACGGCCTTCTTGTTATATCTAGAGACATGATTTGCTTGTATAGCTGTTAAGCACTCTTAGTTTTACTTTATTATTCCTATGAGAAGAGAAAAGCACTTGTTCACTCTTGTTGCTGCACCGTTATCACTGAGACGACTAAAATTATTTCACCTTTAGAAGACAAAAGTACCGAACAAAGTTTTGAATTTCTTTATTTTTTTTGCATCATTGGGCAGTAAAAATGTTGTACTTTCACAAAATAAGTGCGCAACTTGTCAAAAATTGTTTGAAATTTAGATATAACCATTCAAAAAGTAAAAAAATTATCATACATACATAAAGGAATGACAAAATGGCGGCACTGACTGCCTCATCTTTAATCTGCAAATGTTCCACACAAAGTTACTCCAAGTGCTGTCATATTTACCAGGAACACAGGTATAATTATGGAGAACAGCTACTGAAGTGTGCAAATTGATGAGACTTATTCTGAAGAAAGATATAGCCTAGTAAATGGAAATGTCCATTCCTGCCCTGTATAAAGTCAACCAGTAGTATACGGAGATAATTGCTCAGTTTACTAATCCGTGTCCACTCAATGGCACTCATTGCTGGACATGATTTGAATTTGGGCCTGTCTTCCAGAAGTGCTCCCGCTACATTACAGTTCACTTTAAAGGTACCAGGAGAATCGTTCAGTGAAGGAGAGCTCGTCTAAGCCATTTATAAGGCTGTACAACGTAAGATAAAAGAAATATAAGTGTTTGAAAATCATAAAAACTGACGCCATCTTGAAAAATCAACCTCAATCCTACATATATGCTACTGCCTATATAATAAATCATGATTCATCAGATGTAACAAATAATTCTATGGAAATGGATAATATGTGACCATAATTGACAAAAGGTGTGGCAGATTTTTAAATTGATCATTTTAATGAAAAATATCAACCTGTAAGTGCTCTGTTAGACAACCATTGTTTCTAAAAGTTACATAGTAACTTTTTGGATCCTCTGGAGTAATTTCAAGATAAATGGAGCTCAGAAAATTGGATTTTTAAGGCTATAAAGACCAATTTTCCTATCCGCCATAAGGTACCTTTTGTCAATTATGGTCACATATTATAATTCTTATGGGAAAAATGAATTTTAATTTGAAAGCTATACTGCTGCAAATTTTTGTTTTTTTTGTTAACAACAGGACCAACTCCTTTTACAGGTACAAACAAGCCATTGATAGGAGGTCCTCCACTCTTTCCTATTGCATTAATAGATATACTAGATGATAGACCAAAAGTATCTGAATTGATAAAGCTTCATGAGTTATTAATAAAAGGACAACTGGAGAAGTTTCTACCACTGCTTGATCCTGATACTATAAGGAAGATTAGAAATGCTGTTAATGATCATGAAAGAATGTCTCTTCTTATAAGAGCATTTGAAGAACATCCAATACTGCTCCAAAAAGTGAGAACTACTGG